CCAGAACTGGTGGCAGTGATTAGTAATGGATAAATTTGTCTCTCTCCAGCATTGACTGACTCAAAAACGAACAGCGATCATCTAAATTTGCAGTTTCCATAACTACAGTGTACACGCACAACTTCTCTTTCCTTAGTTCCAACTTGAAAACTCCCAGCTTGGAAACTGTGCCCAGGTTTTTGAGTAAATTGCTCCCGATGGTTTTGTCCAAAAAAGACAAAAATGACAGTCAGAAAATATTTAGGTTGTCGGTCTGTCTTGTAAACATGTAACATGAATGGCGAATGTAAAACCATTATTTATTCCATTGTACACGTACACATGTGTGTAAATTTATTTTGCCCGAACTTTAAAAACGTATCACGCTCCTCTCCAATGCTGAAAAAAAAAAAACGATGGTCCAAGAGAGTCCATACTTGTGCAAAATTACTGTTTGATGTACCTTGTTCAAAATAAGGGCAATGAATACAATGAGGGTCCAAGACCCCGCGTTGAAGTTACATGTACATGTACTCCAGACTAAATGTGTACATGTACATGTAGTTAACACTTCATAATGATAACGCTTAACGTTAAATATCTATGCATATGATGAACAAGTACCAGCTATATTCTGTAGTTGGGGGTTTCCCACGCTGTGCTATTTATAACAGCATTCAGTCTCGGTTTTTCCAAAACAGCATTCAGCAACATATCCAGTGCATACTATCATGTTTTCTAGGAAATTACACAATGTACATGTACTTCATGTTTCTTACTGACTAAACCTTACAAACTTGTCAAACTAGTTATCACAGAAATGTGAACTTCATGTGGACAAGCCAGTATATGTGTTCAATTTTTTTTCTTATGAGTGATGTTTGTGGAATAGGAAGGCTGTTATGAAATTACCAGTGGTAGGATACGTCCGTGGGTGGTTTTGTTGGAATCTACAGGTATATGCATATGCACATGTAGCTTGCAATAGGACCCATTACATCACCTTTACATACAATCACCACCTTGCAAGACCTGTTGAATCCCAATGGCATCATTGTTCTACACTGCTAGGATGCAAACTCAATCATGAAAAATTTTCAAACTACCGTACCTCCATCACAAATTTTGATGTAACCCCAATCCTCCCAAATCATGTGTAAATGAATGTACATGTATTCCTTGAAGGTGTGGATGACCATACGCTGTATTCAATCTAATCGTCTAGCAGTACTGGGTAACTGTCAGTGTTGAGGCAGTGTGAATCTCAAGGAACACAGCTGATTTCATGTGACAAGGTCCAACCCAAGACCTTGACACACTACATGTAAATCTGCCAAAATCAGCCACATTTTGCCACACAGCTTCAAACCACCCAAATCCTCCACCTGTACAAGGATTTTGGAGGATTTGGGAAGATCTGGGCAACTTAAAGAAAAGGCCTCTTTTCAAAACAAAGAAATATTTTCTAGTTGATGAAAGAATTTCTTGTGGGCAAAAATGTTGCATCCTGACTCCACTTCAGCAGTTGTGTACAAAGTCTACGGGGAGTGAAGAGAATTTTTTAAGTACATGTATTTCCCAACAACATCGGTTATGTTTCTCAGTCCCCAATTTGTGTCTTTCCAGCATTTCTGTAAGGACTGACTTGATATATGATGAGAAAAGTGGAGTCAGGATGCAACATTTTCTTCTTTCTTTTTATTATCAGTACAGTCATGACAGAAGTGCTTGGACATGTTGGACTTGGAGTAAATACTCTGTTGTTATTTTTGAAAGAATTCATGGATGTACAGATGGAAGACTGGGCGATTTTCTCAGGCAGGCTACTCCGTGTGTTGACCACAGTGTGAAAACTGTTGTGTAGAGCTTACATACAGAACATGTTACACATACGTGCATCATGTAAATGACTGACACACACACACTAGTCATGCTATAGTACATGTACATGTACCACTTTAGGGTCAAGGCCTAGTATACCTAGTCTGTTTCATTCCTCCATGTATAGACCAACTCCGTACTCGTATGCCATGAACATAATTTATATGAATTGTTACCAGTCATGAGGCAACTTAGACCTAAGTTAAAGCATGTAGAGGGACTTTTGATTAATGAATTCCATGTAATTAAATTTATTCAAATCTTGAAGTAGCCTAAATGGGACCCAATTTACGTTTCAGGACGCTCAAGTCTAGCCAAGTGCATTCCTGATTAAGTAGTCGGTACATAGTATACAATGTACATGTACATGCAGCTGGTCTCTGATACAATTCAAGTGCCACCGGCACTGCACCGGGCTCTACCCAACCCCTTTTGCTGGTCTATCATTAACGGTACCATGACCGACCGCTGCCGATTCTTGAACATGATAATCACATTATTACAAAAAAAGTCAAAATTTGTTAACTCACTTACGTTCAAGACTTTCGTTGAGATTCTTTAAATTTTCCAGTAGCAATAAAAAGCAAAATGGTGTTCACACGTGTAACTCTTTGGCGATGCACATTTTTTATGGCAGCAAATTCTTCGTAATCTCCACTTTAGTCATCCATTTGTGTACAATTTCAGCGCGCCCCGTGTAGTGACATCCGTCCATGCATGTAATCTGGGCGCACGAGAAATCGTTCATGCATGTCGATATCACGTTGGAAATCAACAGGACGAATCACACCCCAATCACGCCCTAACTGCGCCTGTATAATACCTCAGAAACTGTGCCCACTAGTCTGTTACTTAGAGTTTTGGATCACCTGGATAATGATTCATATTCACGGTGAATTTTCGAAACGATTGACATTTGGATACGATTTCTCTTATGTTGAAATGAGATTAGTTTTCAACGTTTCTTAATTAACTATTAAGTCTCATATCAATCCGCAACTTGCAGTGGACTTTCACTGTCTAAAGAGGTCGCTATTTAAGAACAGCGGACAGTGGCGATGGGTATTTTATGTCTGTGGCGGTTCTCTATGCAGTAACTGTAGTCATGATATACTGTACATGTATACGCGGTTATCCGCGGTAAGAGAAACAATACAAATCGTCCCGGAGATTGCGCCAGCCGGTGATGCTTAGGGCTGCAGACCATTAAAAATTCCCATGGACAACAGTGATAAATACCCCCCATCAAAAAAAAAAAACGAAACATACTCACAAGTTTCTCAGGTGTTCAAGACACAAATAAAATTCAAGCTCATTTCCTCATCTTCTTTCCAATTTTTAATGGCTTCTCTGATGACTTTTATGATTTTCTTATCTGCAAAGGATCATCTCTGAAAAAAAAACGGCCGTAAAGCCTACCACTTTTTGGAACATTATTGTCTACACTCCATTGCAAAATAGAACGTTCACTCAGACACACGCTGACATTCCTGTTGCCAGCCTCTACCTTTTTTTCCTATAAATCTTCAAGTTCACGGACCACAAAATACTCAGAATTTCACAGAAAGTTCAAGACTCTAGGACAATACTCGTTTTACTTTTACAAGTGTTGGCCACGTCCTTTTTTTTCATCCTGCGGTCTCCTAACGTACCGCAAATATAATACTCAAACTCTGAGCTCAGGTTTAAATGTACCACCAGCCACCTGCGTCTATGCAAAATAAGCTCACAAGTTGTAGGTTTAATGTGAACAAAATCACCCAGGAAAGTTAGAAACCAGGGGTGCAAAATGTTTGATTTATACAACAAGCTCTATAATCGGTCCTAATTTCGGCACATCTTCACCATCTGTGGAATACTCCCTTTAGAAGCTGTAGTTCAACGATGAAGGACACTTTCTGTCATTATTAGGTTTATAATGTAACTGAAAGCGTACTTACCCAAAAATAAAAAAAAATTTAGGCCTTTATTTTCCTGGTTGGATCATTATAAAAGTCGTCTCTAAAAATCGTCGTTGAGGGCAGCATATCAGGGTTGTGGACAATGTTGCGAAGGAGTAAAGAAGCTGCCAAGAGGCAACCGGAATTTAAAAAAAGGGGGGGGGAGAACACAAATTTTTCCCGTGTTCCAGACAGACATCAAATTAAAGCTTTTTTCATCTTCCTTTCAAGTTCAGTGGGTTAACAGTGACTTTTGATGGTTTTTTTCTACCGGCCCTGAGATGATCCTAGAAAACAGTCGTGAAGGCCATCACCGTTTTGAAAAATCAGCCTCAGGAAATAAGACGCACTTATGTCATTATTGATTGATTGATTTCGGTATCCCTATCTCTTGCCTGTTTCAACTGGGTCATTTGTCCATTTCTTATATTTGCTTGTGTTTTTTATTTTATTCTTGATAGAGTATTTCTTTTGCGACTTTTTTTTCGCCCCTTTGCTCCCCTGCGACCTTGCCCCAGCATCCTTCTGAAATCCATTTCAACATATTTTTAACCCCATTTTTGTATGCCTAATCTTTTATAAATAGTTCATAATTTCACTACTGACGGGGATTAACAATCAAATTAACAAAGTAAAATGAATTATACGTCCTTAAGAATACAGGCCAGTAAGTTAATTTGCCGAAAACTGCTTGCGTGGGCCAAATCACAATTTGTATGCACTCTAATTTTCTACGAAATAGGGTATTTTGTGCGGTGGCCCATGAACTTGAAGATTGGTAGAATAGACAGGTTTAGGCGGGCAAAAAGAGAATACCAGCTCGCGTCTGAGTGATATTTGGAAGAAATCGGTACCCGAACGGTCTATTTTTCGACTCGGAGAAGTGTAGACATTGATATTTCAACTTGAAATGGCGAGGTGCTTCAAGATTGCATTTTCGAGTGACCTTCCGTGGACATAAATAACTTATATTAATTTAATGAATGGAAATAAAAGGGAAAATGAAAACTCATCAACTGAGCTTTAATTTCACTTGCGTCTCAAACGCCTGAGAAACTCGTGAGTATTTTTCCTGATTTTTTTAAGTTTTGGTATTTGTCACTGTTGGCTATGGCAGTTTATTGTTAATACGATAATAATCATTCCCATTCCCGTCGCGTCGATCTGGCGCCCTCTCTTGATAAATAAAGTTTACAAAAATTATTTGATCAACAGAGGGCGCCGCTATCGGCCTTTTTGCTGATTGCTCAGAGCTAAAGATGGTAAGGGATGCTGTTAACACTTAAATTAACCCAAAAATCTGACATTTGTAATCGCCATCCACTCTGTATTTTTACTGGAATAAAAATTTGAGTTATTTTTCATTCATCTTTAAAGACAATTTTACCCTAAATGTTAACCCAAGATCCGTATTGTAATTGAAACTACACATTTTCATATACAGTCTAATTACGTTGTATTTTGTAATGTTCATATCTGAAACTGAATAATGGTCGGCAAAGCCTCCATCAGGCATCATCACACCAACTTGGGGTTTTGGCGTAGAGCTAGAACATGTCTTCGGTAGCTTACAAGCACTGAACTATTTAAAAAGTTCAGCTCTAAAAGTTTTTTGTGATGTCTTGCCAGATTCAACAATATAAAGTTCCTTAATTGTCTGTGATAAGAAGCTGTTGCCGAAGGATTGGTCCTGGCATATATTATATCACGTACAGTATTCTACAAAATTACAACAAAAATACAAGTGTAGATTCTGCATTGGGATTGTCGTGATTGTATGTTTAACTTGTTAGATTTTCGTGGTCTTTTTAAGCGTTGTATGAATCAGAATTACCCTACACGTAGGGCCCAGAGCTAGAGTAAATCCTCTGGTAGACTGATCAGTATTCATTGATTTGCTGCACATCCAGTCTTTACTTCCAGAACTGTTAAAAGTTTTTACAAACCCTCTAGGTATACCGGTTGCAGGATTAGACATTACATAACTGAAATGATGCTGTTTCAATCGTTTGGAATATTTCTGCCGTCACAGCTACTAGGCCTATATACGCCTAAGATTTCACAAGTCCTTTCATGATATTGTTTACATAATGTCAGATGGGGAGGGGTTTGTTTACCTTACTGTTAATTAAATGATGAAATTAACGTAACTAAATGTAAACAATATTACCACGTGTGGACCGCTTGGCCACGGTGATCGTATATATTCCTACGGGCAGCTTCAACTTTGTGCAAGCGCACATGCGAACGTTGCATGCTTGACTAGTTTATCTTGAATGAGTAGATTACCATCACCACACTCTGCACTCATTACCATCACAACACATCAGGGGTCCAACACGATCGTGACATCACTGGAAAAAGGTCTATTGGTGTAGCACTTAATGTCTGGCTGGAAGTCCCAAACAATACTTTTTGTTTAACAAGGGTGTGTTTTGTCTTAGTCATAAACCAAAAAGTTGTTCTATCATTTCCATTCGTAGCTTCCTATGTTGGGATATCGTATCATTCTTGCTTCAAAAATTTGCTGATCTATGTAGTCTTTGCATTTTATTATTCTATCATATATATAATAATTATTTGAAAATAAATGGATTGAGAAATAATGATACTTCTTACGTTAAGGGGATTTTGCCATGTTCATAACACTAATAACTGCATTTCATAAGCACCTAATACAATAAAGATCCTGAGTACTTTCCCATTATTACTACCCCTGCTCACTGGGCCAATCACACATTCCAAAATACCAACTCGGCTCTCTGGGGAGTATACAGCTCGATTCTGCTCTTGCAGCACAGAGCAGCCTTCACAAAACCTTCGCATCCTCATAGTTGTTGGAATTCCCAGTGAATGTCACTGTGTAATCACTACTTTTTGATGCAGTGTTAAAAACTGCAGTATTGTCGAGGCCTACTGTGTAGCTAAAACAAACATGTAACCTGTTTGTGGCAAGATGTGCATTTGACTTGCTAAGTGCGTGAGACGTGCGCGACATGGGATCACAACTGAGTCAAATCTGGAGTGCAGAAGAAAAAAAAAGCCATCAAGGCGGCGCTAGCTGTTACTAGCAAACCTGAAAAAAAATTCCCCAAATGTTCATGGGTGCAGGATAGTTGTAGTGATTGTTGGTCATGACACGTGGCTTGATTCCTCCAATTGCAGGCTGACACTGCACAAGTTGAGGTCAAGAAGAAGCGTACCTTCAGGAAGTACACCTACCGTGGTGTGGACCTGGAACAGCTGCTGGACATGACCAAGTGAGTCGGTAGTCACAAGAATCCCCTGTCGGTCACTTTGCAGTATTGAAACTATCTAAGGAATAATCCTGTTGTCCAGGATTGGCCGTATTCAGTGCCGATACTTGTCTGTCACATCCATCCTTTTTCCTCGTGTTGATGTCAGGTGTTGTAACTAGCTCAAGTCACCACCAAAATGTGACATCTCTTATACCCAAGGTCAGGTTCTTGAACATCGATTCACCTTAACCCTAACACTCCTCAGTCCTCCAACAGGTGAAGGATTGAGGAGGGTTGGGGTTAATATCCTAATGATGCACTCAGCGTGTGTTAAATACATGCATTGACAGCGAGCAATTCCTAATTCTAAAATGCATTATTTATTTTGATAGTACAGCACCAGGAATGGTAAAGTGCTTGGGTGTAGGTTGCCATCACAACATGTTGGAACCGTTGCAAAAGTGCTTTGTTCAAAGGTCTCTAAACCATGGTTGCCTGCAGTTTGATCTCTTAGTAACATCCTGACCTAACCCTAAGACAGCTGGGTGTGTTAGCCTTCCCTATCTTGGCTGTCCAATGACTAGTAAAGAAACCTATTATAAAAAAGAGATCTTTGAAGTTGCAATTCAGTCTTTAATGGGGTTATGTTTTATGATCATTTAGTGTTCATGCTGTCACACATGTCAACCTGTACATGTTTGTGTTACATACGTGTACCTAGTGTGGGCATTTCTTCTCTTGTGTAGTCCAGAAAACCTGGTGAAAATCCTCGTCTTTCTTGAGCAATGGATTCTGTTTTAAGCGGAATTTTTGTTGACGGTTTCCTTGTTTGTCTTCCTTTTGCTGCCGATAACCTCAAGTGGGAAAACCTTGTGTGTGGACCTGGCTTACTCGACACAAGGTTCACACAACTTGCATTATGTGGACCTGTTTTATTCTTCTGTCCATATAAAGAGGGCAGTGTTGGCAAACACTCGGCACTTGTCATTGGGAAGAAAAGGAAACATTTTGGGCTAACCTGTTTCAAAAAATGGACATTCTGCAGTGATACAAATTTTTAAAAAAAGAAAAAAATGGTGTAAAATTCAGGGGTGAGATTTCCCAGCTTTTTAGCTGATTTCAGCTTCTTTTTTTTTTTCAGCTTTTTTTCCTCTCACTGGCTGTGTACAAAAATATAGGAGATTTTCACAGTTCAGCTTCTTTATGCCGTTTTCCAACAGTTTTCAGCTATTTTTATCATTGGTCAATCTCACCCCTGAAACGTGACTGTAAGATATTAGTGGAAAACTGAAGTTTCGGCACCACAAAAATTTTCATTGTAAAAAAGTTGGGGAAAATGTAGCCCCGGGCACACAGTCTCCCCAGGGTCTTGTAGTGAAGTCCATTGTTTGACCCTAAATAAAATTGTCTTTCCTTGGAACAGTGAGCAGCTGATGGAGCTCCTTGGCTGCCGCGCCCGCCGCAAGTTCAACCGGGGCCTGAAACGCAAGCCCCTGGCCCTCCTCAAGAAGTTGCGCAAGGCCAAGAAGGAGGCACCGCCCATGGAGAAGCCGGAAGTGGTCAAGACCCACTTGAGGAACATGATCATCGTACCCGAGATGGTGGGGAGCATCGTCGGGGTGTACCAGGGCAAGACCTTCAACCAAGTGGAGATCAAGGTGAAGATTAAACCCCCTAGCCCTGTGGGCCAGTTTGCTGAAAAACCTCATGTTCCTCGGTTTTTTTTATTAAAGAGACGTCAATTGAGCCATGGTCAAGCCAAGATTTTGATTATGAAGCAATTCATGTAGAAAATGTGCCAAGATATTTGCAGCCTCAGCTAGAGACACAGTCAGTATCTGGAAAAGGATGCTAGAATCGTTCAGTTCTTTTTGTTCTCAGATCAGACCCGGAGAGATCTTGAATGATGATATTTTTAATGCAAAATTTTTCACACCAGTATTATCATAGCCCCACATGCAATGAAAACTACAGAGGACAGTTGCTTTCAACCTGACAGTAGATATACACTCTCCAGAAGTCTGGATTAGCTTATCTTCACAACCATCTTGAACAAATCATGTCACAAGCATCCATAGCATAGTTTCATTCATGTGACGCCATCTTCCTCAGTTCCTGTGTGGTCTTCAGAGGAAAGCATACTGTAAAATGTCACTGCATTATCACATAGTACACAGACTTCAGGCACTGTACGATTCAGGGCTATCTCCCGATGATGGGCAACGTATACTTTCCAAAAGTTGCATCCACCTGTTCTTTTTAGAGCCTCCATAACTTACAAAAGAGATGTTATCAAATCTCGTTAATAAGAGCACTGTTAACCGTCCTTTGGTTTTACAGTACAAATATACACAAGTGCCCACAGTCACTCTCTTGCATGAGTTTTCTATATGGAACACAAACATGCACAGGTTCAGTGTGTACACAGTTAGTTGCCAGCACAAAATGACCCAAGGTCTTTTGTGCAGTCCTCTTCACTGCATTTGGTTTACTGCACAAATAACGCACATGAAACGGTGAAG